CAACAATAATTTCGAATTTATCATATATTCATCACCATGGACTTTTCATATGATATTTTTTATCTATATGTGATATATTTTCATATTAAATTAAGACATTAAAATATTTCTATAATCATAAACTTTTTAAACTATAATAAAAAAAATATAATACGAAGAAATTTACTAAAATCCAAAGGTCACAAAGTCCACCAGGCCTCGCTGTTCTTCTCATTTCATTTGAAAATAATGATTTTGCCATCGCATGCCTGCTCTGTAAGGTCATTATACTTTCAAAGCTCTCTCATTGGAAAATTCCAATACGGGGCCACGTAAATTCGAATTGAATATTAAAGCTTTGAATTCAAGTCAATTCTTAGAAGATTTTTTAGTTCAATTGAATATTAAAGCTTTGAAATAATAATATTTTTCACACTCTAAATAAAATTATAAAAAAATAATTTTAGGTCAATTTTAATTTGATACTCCATGTTTTTATTGGGTCACATAAATATAATAAATTTCAAGTTAATTTTGTATACCCATTTTGGGTATAAACAAGGGTATGAAGGGACATCCCTCATAATGAACTTAATAAATGATATGACATTAGAAAATCCACTTGATCAAAGCACAAATCTCGAGATATATTAGAATGAAAACATTTAAGATTAAATTTAGAATTATCATAAATTTTATTTTATTAAATTTATAGTCGAACTAATCAGTTCCATAATTTTGTATCATATGAAACTCTTTTTTATAGTCACGTGGGATGGATATTCATAGAAAGTTAAGATGTCAAAATTTTTGTCTACTATCATGAATATTCTAGTATATAATATGTTTGTGTCATCTGTAAGAATAATTTCAAAATTTAACAAAAACTCATCCAATGACTAACATACATAAATTATTAAAGACTCCTCTCATATTTTTAGGATTCACAAGTGAGAGAGAGTACTTTTAAATTTTATCTTCAAAAGCTCATTAAATTTTAGATGTCTTTGTTCTATACCTTTGTACTCTTCACTGACTTAAGAGATATTTCATGTCACAATCTAACCCGAAATGACCCAGAGACATACATGTAATATAGTGTTGAATTGGGATAGACTAACCTATGATCTAAGTTTTGGGCGACTAATCAGAATTGTTTTATTAATTTAAATAGATCACAGAACTTCTAATTGTTGGGGGTGGAAGTAAACCATATAACAAACACAACACAAAAAATAGAAAGCAACGGAAATAAGAGGACACCATGATTTAACATGAAAAAATTCAAAATCGGGAAAAAAATCATGAAGCCACACCACACCAAGAAATCAAATACGAAAATTTGGATAAATTGCATATCTCTCTTCTCTCAAGTTCTCTCCTTGCTTCTCGATCTCCTCCCTTACACCATTCTCATACACAAAACAAAAGAGAACATCAAGGAAATAACACCAAGGAACGCCACCCTTAAGAAAATGAGAATGAAAACTCTAAAATCCATCTCAAAGCGCTACAATACTAATTTACAGCGCCGCAGCGCTCAAACATCTATCATTGATCCATCTGACAACGTTGTGGCTCCTAATTTAGAGCATCGCTGCAACACTAAGCTCTTTGTCATTTTTCCCCGTAAACTTTGCAGCACCGATGTTGCCAAGAACATGATGTCGAGTTGTTCGGGTATACAGGGCTGGGGCACTCAAGTATGCAGCATCAGGGCGTTGTGCAAAAAAAATGTTGCTTTAGCAAGGGTATAACCCCTGGTGTGAGCCAACAAAACTTAATATATCGCACCCACTATTCTAAATTTTCAGATAATTCATTTTATTATGCATTTAACATTATTAAAAACGAATTCATAAGAAATTTAATAGATCGAGCATAATATTAATTGGAGATATTTGAAATAAAGTAGATTGTGTACTGGAAGTAAATAAGCAAGTACTTCTATACCAGAGCACAAAGTACTAGATTTCCTTCGGTCCTTGTACCTCCCATTAGAAAATAGCTTCTAATGACTCCCATACTAACATATCAAAAAACAGGCCATTATAACTCCCAATGTCTAGCTCATATCAAATATTCAAATTTTTAGACCCATATGACTCCTTGTGCACTTAATGTCATAACAAAACTTCCGCCATATATCATATCTCCTTTGAATCACACAATTCAAGTAGTTAAGTATATATATCATTGCATTGTAGCAAAATAAATGGTAATAAAATAAGTTTAGAATTTCACTGAATGCTTTAATGGTAGGCAACAGAACCATATACTGAGCAAAATTTTCATATTACTAGGGATTATTCAAAACACTATTTTGAAGCTTTTTATAGCTTTATTTTTTGGGATGAAATTATTTTCTAATTTTTCAAAACCCCAATATATTTTTTTATTTACATGGAGAAAATTCACCCAAAAAATACATAAATGTCCATAACTATATATTTATAACATATAACAAGTTAGACTATATTTAGACACTCATATACATAGAAAATATTCTTAAACACATGTAAAAGGGTTCAATCATATAAATTTAGTAAATTATATTTATCAAGTTGGGTCAGAATAGGTGCAATCATACATGGATTCAACAGGTGTTACATTTCACTCCTATGGTGATCATATCCATCAAGTAGAATTATAAATAATTAATGAAGTCATCAATACACATTGAAAATAACTTGAATAATTGATGCGGCTGTGTGATGCATTGCACACATGAATTAGATTTATGCTCTTGGCTAATATATGCCTATATTTTATTTGATATGCAATACCCACTAGAAATATAAATGCACTTATTCATCAAGTAATAAAGTGGTTAAGAGAGTTTCAATCCCATGATAAATTATTCTGTTAATATACAAGTAAAATAGTAATGTCTACTTCAACTATAATGTTTATCCTACCAAAGAAAATAAGGATTGATTTCTGTATGTCACTATAGAGGATTACAAGAGAAAATATAAGATACCATATATTAAAAGTATTTGGACTAATGAATGCAAATTACCAAAGTTTTCTTAATAAGACTTTTGTTATATTGATCAGAGCATACACATCTCTAAATCTCTATCGAGCTTTATGGATGCAAAAGAGAGGTTTATGACATTCCTATATTGATTCTATCTCTAAAGAACCTAGAAGATTAAACATCATATGTATAGACATGCAACATTCCATTCTAGTATTCTTATTTATTCTAACATTCCTTTGTCTACATGGGCAGACCCCCATTGACTTGAGTGCCCCCCCTCAAAAAAAATTTTTTTTTATTTTAGAGGGATTGTTTGGAATATTTTGGGTATTTTTGGCATTTTGCCCCCTCTCAAAAAAATTTTTTGCCCTCATTTTATAAATCCTAAGACACATCTCTAAATCTCTATCGAGCTTTAAGGATGCAAAAGAGAGGTTTATGACCTTCCTATATTGATTCTATCTCTAAAGAACCTAGAAGATTAAACATCATATGTATAGACATGCAACATTACATTCTAGTATTCTTATTTATTATAATATTCCTTTGTCTAGGTAATATATCATACTAGTTTTGAAATATACATATGATCATTGTATACATTAAATTAAGATTGAGAGATATTGATAATATATATTTCTTATTCAAAGCACAAGAATTTATAATGGTAATAATATTTGATTCATATCATTAACCCAAAATTATGAAATTACACATACATAAAATGTGAAGAAAATAAAACAAAATTTATTGCTTGCATAAATGATAAAATACAAGAGTACAAGTTATTTTAGATATCAACCGATAGTATAAATGCTCTACACTCCTTTCTCCTCTAAATATTTTATTGCTTACAAAGAGGCAAGCTACTAATTCCCAAATGTAATATCCTTCTCCTCCCCGCCCTTTAAACTTTACATTAAGGGGGCACTATAGTTGTAATGCCCCAAAATCAAATTTGATTAATTAATTAATTAGAGCTTTATAAATCATCAAAATAATAAATCTATCTACATATCAAGTAAAAAAAATAATAATTATATACCTTAAAATATTTCATTATATTTATTCTCTCAAAATCAATATACAATAGCCATGAGATCGATATAATTACTATTATATCACAAACTCTTGATTACAAAAGAATTAAAAAAAATACAAACAAAATTAAAAGGAAACTTAAGAATCTATGTCAAAATCACTCTAAATTATCCTAACCCTTCCCTAACCTGGAATTATAAAAATTCATATAATGAGCATAAAAGTCCAACAAGTAATCAAAATTCTATCATTACTTACAAAGTAAGACAAAAGAATATGCATACATATTCCATTCTAATCAATATAAATCATTATTTAATATGAGCAATAAAAATCTCAATAATTAATAATAAAATTAACATGATCAGTAAAGTCAAAAGAGATCTATAAACTATTAAACTATAAGAAAAATCAATAAAGAGGGCTATTACTCAATAAACATGCTAGTATGTTATGTTATGTTGTATCAATATTAATGCCAGTATGAGTTCAGTTATATCTATCAATCATTTTAATGTAATATCAAAAAAATATTATCACGAGTATAATTATGAAAATAAGATAAGATATGTAGCTTTAATATGGTGTTTTCTTCATTATATCTGTTGCAATAACCTGAATTTTTGAAATAATTTTTTTTAAATGAAAATTTTGAATTTCAATGTTGTGCCTTGCTGAAGAATAAAGAAAGATGAAGGAGAGAAAAGATTATTCGAAGTTTTTTCATCCATCAATTAATTTTTCAAAGATTTATTTTTCAAATCTCATCTAAGTTTTTAATGATTTTGATTTTGATGACTTCTAAATCGATAAAAATATATTTTTTCCTAATTTATTGAGTCTCAATTAATATATATATGTTCCTTATTTTTATTATTATGTAATTGAGTTTCTGCTCTCAAATCTAAATCATCTTGTTCTATTAATTGAGACTTTGACTGTAAATTAAAAATTGAGTTTGAAATTTTTATATGCCATTTGTGCATGAATTTGAATGAATAGACTTGGAAGTCCAAAAAAAAAATCCACTCTCCATGTAAAAAAAAACATTAGCAAATCACACGTGCATTACTGCGAGGCGCCGTACACCAACTTACTCGCCACAGACCCAGTTCTCCCGCAGTCTCCGAGCTCGTCTTATTGCCAATCAAATCATTCCAAGTGTCAATTACCGCCTGGCCGGCTAGCTATCTCCCAGCCGCGCGATGTGGCCACCGAGTTTGCGAACGGCATCGCCGAATGCCACGCACATGCGGAGACCGGTTCAGCCGGTCACTTGACCTTGGCCTGCACGTTCTTCCCGCGATGTATAAATTCCATCTCCCCCTCAGTCGAATGCTGAGAAGCTGCAGACGATCGCCGCGGGGAGAAGCAAAACTGAGGGAGAGAGGCATAAAGATAGCGTCTTGAGGGTGTTCTGCTTGGTATCGTGGTCCATTGTTTTTAGTCGTGATTGCTTTCCACGGGCTTGATCTTGATCTGTAAGTGGTCAGCCCTATCTACCTTTCTCATCTGAATCTTCGATCTGCCAGTTTAAATTCACTAGAAAGATGTTGAACGAATTTTTCTTCTTTTTGTGTTCGCTCTTTCGGTAAGGATGAATTAGGTGTTTTTAGGTGGGTTATTTTGCCTGATTTTACATATTAGAGTTGAAAGTTGGTTGCTTTTGTGAAATTAGGGTTTGATCATGCGCTGCGGAAGGGAAAAATTTCTTCCTTTTCGTGAGTTTCGTACATTAGGTGCTGAAATCGTTTCAGATTTGAAATTTGCAGATCTGTTGGAAACCTGGTTTTGCAGGATCTTAACTCCAATTTTATGCTGCAAACACATTTCTTTTGGTGATTTCGGCTCTCAAAGGGTCGTTTCTTAATCCTTGGAGGGACTTCAGTCTTTGACATCCTGATAGGTTGGTTGTGCCTGGCGCAGCTAATAGATTGATCCTGCGCCAGTTCTGGTTGAGGGGTTGCAAGGTATCAGGAAGGGCCACCTTCCTCTGCAGGGCTGGCGCTTGAGGGTTATCTAAAGCGTAGCCACTCGCTGGCTTCCAGCCCCTCTCCCTTGGTGCCCCCTTTGAGGGTTGCTGGAGGTGGCGGTCCTTCACCCTCATCCTCAGCCTCTTGCATCTTCTTCCTTGGTGATGGGCAGAGCTCTGCACCCGCTAGCTCCATTTCAGGGGCTATCTTATCTGGGCTTGGGCCTGGTACTTCCGCTGACCTGAATCATAGAGTCCTCAATAGTGCTGCAAACTCATCTGGGCCCAGTATGGGGGCAAGCTCTCTTGTCACAGATGCCAATTCCTCCCTCTCTGGGGGGCCACAGTTGCAGAGGAGCTCCAGCATAAACAATGAGTCATATACACATCTTCCGGCATCTCCACTGTCCTTCTCTTCCAATAACATCTCCTGCTCCTCTGTCATGGATGGTTCATCCATTGTTCAACACAGTCCTCAGCAAGAACATATGGTAAAGCAAGGTAATTCCAGCAATTTATCACAGTCAATAATGCATGAATCTGGAATGCTGCCTGCTGAGAAGAGGCCGAGGTTGGACATGAGGCAGGGAGATGCTTATCATCAGCAAGTCATCCAACAAATGTTGCAGAGGCAGCAGAGCCCTCAAATTCAGGCCATGATACATCAGCAGAGGTTAGCTCAGGCTGCACAACAGCAGCAACAACAACAAATTTTGCAGTCACTACCGCAATTGCAGCGAATGCAGGTGCACCAACAAACCCAACAGCCTAGGCCGAACCCTTTGCAGCTAGTATCTCCTGCAAGACGCCCCTCTGAGAGCGGTTTGTGTGCTTGGAGGCTGATGCAATATATGTACCACCAAAGTCATCGACCTCCTGTGAGTTCATAACTTGTTAATTCTTTTTTAAGTAATCCCAATGGAGATTTGCCTACTGTTTTTTTTTTTCTTTGCTGCAGGACAATTCTATAACTTACTGGAGAAAATTTGTTGTGGAATACTTTGCACCCAAAGCAAAGAAAAGATGGTGTTTGTCATTGTATAATGGTGTTGGCAGTCATCCTTTAGGCACTTTTCCTCAAGCTTCTATGGTTAGTTATAGCACTATGTTCATCCTTTAGGCACTTTTCCTCAAGCTTCTACTAATTTTTTCCAGCTTGCACAGGATGCATGGCAATGTGGCATATGTGGTTCTAAATCTGGAAAAGGCTTTGGTCAGTATGTTTGCATCTATTTTAATTTTTGTCTTGCTTTATGTGTGGTTTGCTTAGTTGTGCTGAAATTTTGATGACTTCTGGCCACAATTTCTATTAGCTAGATTGCACGAATTTTTCTTTTGATATGATATTCCCTAGCATAACTAGTTTTAAGAAAAGGTATTACTTTAACTAATGAAAAACATTCCTACCTGGTTAATATTTTCAACAGATGAAGACATTGCATTTAATTATACTAGTTGAAACTTAAACAGAGGTCTATTTGGATCAAAGGACAATAGATTAGTAAGCCTAAATGCGGGGAAAACAAAAAGTAAACTATGGATTGTTGAGTGAACTATTGTAATATTCCTCGCACTGTATATATTTCAAACTGTGTCTTTAAGCTCATCTCCTTCTCTCTGAAAACAGTAATGGTGCTTTTATTAAGTTTGTATACTGCCCTATCTCTTGTTAAATCACAGAACTAAAGACATTTCTGTTGTGATACTTGAATTTCTCTGGAATTAGATTGGAAAATCAAGGGTCTTCTATCATGCCATGCAACCATCTCTACCAACTGGAATCTGTATTAAGCATACGCACAGGAAAATGCATAGTTACATATATGTATCTGCTTGAGCATGTTTAATTCTTTGTTTACACACTTGTGAGGATAAATTCCTAAGATTTAGGCTTCGTTTGGGACGGCTTTTTTGCTGCTTCTTAAAGCAGCTTTCTAGTAGAAAAAAATTAATTTTTAACTAAAAAGCTACTTTAAGAAGCAGTAAAAAAGTCGCCGCAAATGAAGCCTTAGTCAGATTTCTTCAACCTATTTTGCTTTGCACAATTTTCTATATGAATGTATGACATGGATGCTGCCTAAGAAAAGAACTGACGAGTGCTCAATATTTTGTAGCTATTGTTTGACGAGTGCTGTATCTTAAAATTATTTCTAATTTGTTTTCTTTTGCAGTTAGATTTTGTGTTAGCTTTTCTGGTCTTTACATTTTCAATTGATGTTTGTGCATCTTTTTCAATCAATTTATTTTACCAATGCAAATCCATCCCTTCTATTTGTTTGCTTATTATTTTGTATGGAGGCAGAGGCCACTTATGAAGTTCTTCCTAGGCTCAATCAAATTAAATTTGATCATGGGGTTATCGACGAGCTTTTATATCTTGAGATGCCTCGTGAAGGACGGCTTCCATCTGGGATGATGGTTTTGGAGTATGAAAAAGCTGTTCAAGAGAGTGTCTATGAGCAAATACGGGTTGTGCGTGAAGGCCAACTTCGAATAATTTTCACTCCTGATTTGAAGGTTGTAAATATGTTGCTATGTCTCCGATTGTTCTAGAAAGTTTCCTGTTGTTCCAGACTTTTTTTTTCTGATTTTGCATAATTCTCTATTTGTTATGTGATTCAGATCTTGTGTTGGGAGTTCTGTGCTCGACGCCATGAAGAACTTTTCCCTCGTAGAATGATGGCAAATCAAGTATGTTAAAATGCTATCCATTTGTGTATGCTTTTAGAGCTTCAAAGTTTTTCTGTGAACATAATTGAATGCTTAACTGAAATATCTATTTATGCTGTTTTTTTCCCTTTAAAACATTTAGAGTGATTATGATTTTAATTTTGGATTGGTATGCGTCCTGTTATTATTATTTTTTAATTGTCTTTCATACTGGTGTACCTTCTATTTACTGCAGTAGTTTACTTTTTGTTCTGCAGTTGGTTAGCATTTTGTCAATCCTTGTAAGTTTAATTTAACCAACTGTTTACTAGTTTTTTTGGTAGATTGCTTATTGTTGTAGGGCTTGTATAAAATTGTTGCACTTTTATTTTGTGTTCAGGAGATGGTATTTTTCCTGCTCAGTTGAAAAGGATCTTTCTTAACAAAATGTAGTGGTGTTTGTCATGGACTTTTGAATCTGATTCTTATATTAGCTTTCATTTAGAAAGGCGTTCCCAGTTACCCAAGGCTATGACAATTCAAAGTTTGAGGAAGGGTTGATACACGCCAGGAAAACAGTCTTTTAGCTTTCTCAGTGGACTGCTTGTAGTTGCAAGGCCTATTAATTGGAACTTTTGTGTATTTGGTAATTTAATTGATTAAGGATGAAGATCAAAATGTTATTTTCTTGGAAGATGATAGTCGACATAGATGGATGAGATATTTTGTAGATATTTTTGTAAGAATACAATGGATTTTTAATGAAGATTATGAGAATATGATTGACTTTAGTTACCTTAGCACCCTAAATGAAAATGAATATTTTTGTTTTTTTCGTTGTATTAATAAAATCGAAGTTGGAGAGGCTTTAAAGAAAATGAAGTATGGAGTAGTGTGACCTGATGATTTTTCAATGAAGATGTGAAAATGATTATGAGATCAAGTTACTTCTTGGATTGCTAAAAATTTTAATATTATTTTGAAGGCTAAAAAGATGTCAGATGAATAGAGAAAAAGTGTATTAGTTCCTATTTTTAATAATAAGTGTAGATCTAAACCAAAAACATGGAGTGTAATTTTAGAAGTAATAGATCTATTGGTGGAATTATGATATTGGGTGATCAAGTCGTTAAAAAGAATGCACATTTGAAATATCTCGGGTCTATTGTTCAAAGGGATGGTGAAATAGATAGAGATATTATTATTAGAATTCAAGTTGGCTGGTTTAACTAGAGGAATGCATTGGGCTTGCCTGTTGTATGATAGAAAAGTATCTCTTAAACTTAAGGTAAAATTTTATAAGATGATGGTGAAACTTGCAATGCTTTGTGGCTCGGAATATTGTCCATTAAAATAGAAGTATAAAATTAAGTTAAGTATTGCAGAGATGAGGATGCTCGAGTGAATTAGTGATTTTACACTTAGATAAAAAAATGCAAAACAAGTATATAAGTGAAAAGGTTTGAGCAGCTCCACTAGCAGATAAGACTACTCAGATTTGCCTTAGATGGTTTGGTCACATAAAATGTCGATCTTCCAATGATCCTGTTAGGAGAGTAGATGTATTAGATATGACTTATGTTATGAAAGGTAGATGTAAACCTAAACAGACTTGGGTAGAAATATTAGAAATGATATTTTTTTAATTAGATTTAAATGAGAATTTGACTCTTGATAGGAAAAAATGGAAAACAAGGGTTCATGTAGCTGAACCCACGTAGTGGGATAAAGCTTGACATTGTTGTTGTTGTTGTAAGGATCTTTCTTATCAAAATGTAGGTGGTTGAGGGTTCTTTAATCTAGATCTACAATTTGCTGCCATTTTGAAAGGGGCTTTTCCATCGCACTAGGCTATTTTTTTTTCCAAGTCTAAGAAACTATGCATTGGCCTAGATATAATTTGTTCTCTATTTAATCATGACAACAGCCAAATATGATAATGATTTTTACAAAATTATTAAATGATCTATGATAGTCTCAAGAGAATCATTATCATCATTAACCATGTTCCGTCTATTTGGGACATTTTATGAACTTTTGTTGGGTGTTGCATGCTTTCTTAACTTTGGTCTGCGAATATTTAAGTCACAACTCATTGAAATGGGATATTTTGTCAATTTTTTTTATTCTTTCGTCCCATGCCTTTAACATTGATACTTCTACCTTGTTATGGGCAAATCTTCTTATATCCTCTGTATATGCCCAAAGTAAATATACTGGAATACAATTTTAGTTTATTCCTTATTTTCACATAGCTGGATGAGATTTCTTCTGATTTTTATCTCTCACTTTATGTGAAGTGTTCACGTTGAATTTCTGTTGAAACTCTTTGCTATGTTTTTTGTTCTCAATTTATTTTTTTATTTATATATTTTTCTGTTGTTAACTTTATGTGAAGTGTTCACGTTGAATTTCTGATGAAGCACCTTTACTATGTTTTTTGTTCTCAATTTTTTTTTAATTCTGTTATTATCCTTTGTTTAGTGTTTATCTTTGTGTCATCTTTGATTGTCTCTTTATTTTTTATTAATGTCAACAATGCATGAATTCCACAACTATTCTAAGTAGAGTTATTGCTTCTTGTTAGTGTTTTTTCTTACTTTTCCTTTGTCAATGACTTATGCTTATTGGTTTTGTTCTGCTTTGTGGTTTAATCCTTGTATTTTATCTGAATCACAGTTAATATTATCTTGGTTCTCTTGTTTTGTATCTGCTTGCTCTCAACATATTCGTGTATCTATGAGATGATATTGAAACCTCATGACTGCTTTGTTCTATCTGCAAATTTCATTGCATAGTTACTCACACTCGGGCTTTACTTTTAGGTGACATTGCTTTTCTTTAGATGGTATGCTCAGATTACCTTTAACTTGCAGTATCTGGAAAGAAATAATCTATGAGTACCTTATCACACGTCATGCTATTCCCACAGGTGAACCAGTTGCTGCATGTTGCACAAAAATATCAAGCTGCTGTAAATGAAAGTGGTACTTCAGGGCTTTCTGTTCAAGATCTGCAGGCCAGTTGCAACATGTGAGTGAGACATCTCATGCTAATGCATTTCTGAGTTAAACTTTATTGATTATAATGGATCTGGTACTGAAGAAAAAAAAAAGGAAAATTTGGCCTCATTTCAACCAAAAAATTGTGTTTGTTACTGCCGCAACTAAAAATCAGAAGTTGTGTTTCAACTCCGTTCAACATTGACCCTGTCTTTGCCCCTTTTGATTAAGCAGTACACGTTATTGCTTCATATACTTGCAAACTTATATAATTTTGATAGGAAGTAGGTGCTTTTTTCAACCAAATCAGCGAATCGTTATGGAAAATTGGAAAGAAGACAACAAAACTTTTTATTGCAAGAAATTCGAAAGAAAATGACAAGATACAGTTGGATCCTCAATTGGAGAGGAGGATCTGACTCTCCCAATCTTTAGCCGACGGCTAGAGCCCAAACAAATCCTAAGAACTCTCCAAATTTTAGCAAACACAAGATAAAACCTAACCTTAGGGTCAACTATATATTTAAAATATATAAAATATAGTTAATGCCAAAACAGACCTCCTAAGTTGAATTTCTCTCCTAATCCCCTCTTCAATTTCCTCTTACTTGTTGTTGGACTGATGGGCCCCACCCCCAATTAAACTAGCAGAAGCATCTAACAATACTCCCCTCCCAAGGGTATCAAGGTGAAAATATGGCTCTTTACTCAACGCCCTCGTCATCACAAACGGTGAGAAATTGAAGAGTTCGGTTCTTACATATGTGCCCCGGTTTATTCCTCTACTCAGAATCCCTTTGCCCTCTATTTTTGTAGCTCCGTCTTTGCGAGTCTCTTGAAGTTTTTCCCAGGTCTTTTTCTTAGTCTTATCTTTCAAGGTCTCCTTAAAGAGTACTCGGTGTTGGCTCTTTTGATGCCAAAAAGGTGATGATCATCCTGTATAAACCTCCTGGGTTGCTACATCTAGCCCCTCTCTCCAGGTGCCTCTTATCCTCCCATTAATTAGGCTAGCTCCATAGCCTCTCCCAAATCACGAGGCCTCATCAATCTAATTGCCGCCAAAATATTTGATTTGAGCCATTTCATAAAGTTTTCCTCTAGTATAATCTCTGTAAGCCAGTCAAGTCAGCTGGCCAAGTGCTCAAACTACTCCCGGTATTCCACTACTATCCCCTCCTACGTCACGGCGAAGAATTTCTCATAGAAGTCCTCTTTTCTGCTGGTTCGGAAACATTCCAATAATCAGTCTTTAAACTCCCTCTAAGTCCACGGGCATCATCTCCTTCAAAAATAGGTATCTTTAGCTTCCTAACCCTCGGATCTCCTGCATTCCCCCTGTTTCCTCTATAATTTTTCATTTCCCAAGGAGGTGGTTTCTCCCAATTTTCTCAATCATCTATTCTATGCTCGTATACAAACCTTTCATCAAATTCGCACATTCTCCTTTCAAATTCAGCACCCCTTGGATCATAATCAATCCCTCTCCTTTCAAATTCAGTACCCCTTTGGTCATAATTAGCCTTTCCCCTTTCAAACTCCATCTCTCCTATGAAATTAAGCACTGCTTTGTTCATGCCCGACCTCCTCACGCCTCTCACCATACCCTCTACTTGGCTTTTATCCCTAGGAATAGGATCTGGGGGTGTCATTCTATCTTCTCCCTCTTGAATCTCTACCACATGATCTTCCCTTCGCCTTATATGATTATGGTTTGTCCCACTTCCTTTGTTGTCGGAGGCTTCCCTCTCCTCCAACGATGCCGTTTTGGGTTGACCCTCGAGCAATTTCTTCAACATCTCCTCAAGGATGGAAAAATTTCCATCCATCTTCTCATTGATGACTGAAATTTGACTTTTCAAATATGAAAGTTGAGTTTAGAGATGAAATTTCATTTTCATTTGTCTGATCTCCCATTCCAATACTCTCTACCTTTCTTCTTGATATAGGTACTCGGATTTAGGCTCCAATAACAAAAATAACAGCTTTGATGCTAATCTGGTCTCCAAACTGCAAAAACAATACAATCGGAGAGGAAACAACAGAAATCAACTAGGAAAACTTCTATTTCCGTCCAAGAAATTGCTTTGATACTAATTTGATAAGTAGGGGCTCTCACATCCAAATTGATAGGAAGTAGGTGTTTTTTTCAACCAAATTTGGGAACCGTAATGGAAAATTGTGAAGAAGACACCACAAAACTTTTTAATGGAGAGGAAACACGTGGAAGCATGTTCCACCTAAGAAGGCCGAAACTTGTTCCGCCTCAACAGTTGGATGCGTCTAACAAATTTTAATTGCTTTTATTTTTACTTTCTTTCTCGACATTCTCTTCTATGATATTTCTTTTAGAGCTCTTTTGATAAAAGCAATTTCCGGGCCTTGGGTTTTTGATGTAGATCTAAGTATGCGATGTAGTATTATGCTATTTGCAACATCTTTTATATAAGAAAAAAAAATTGCTTAAAGCGTGCTATTAATTCAAATTATAATGTTTTTGGCCTAATTTTATTAGAATCTTAGAAGAAGAATAATGTATTACCCATCCAAATGAACGTCTATTTAAACCTTATAATTGATACTAACCTATTGAATAGAACTGAATCTAAGACCCAAATCTTGCCGTGGAAATTGCGTTCATTGTAGTAATATAGGTGCTGGTTCAGCCAACAAATTACAACTAACGTTACAAATTTAAATTTTAAAATTTGAATTTCAGAATGAACAGTAAGACACATTTTTTGTGTTTTCAACGAAGTAGATCTTGAGTTTTGCATCAGGTTTCTTTGGTGCTTAGTAAATCGATCAAGAAACTTGGATTGCTCATTTTGTTTGTGGCTGCTTTGCACATTATGTTGCATAAATACAAATTGTGCAAGTGTACCAACCTCGTGTATACTCCTTGCCTTATTATGTTGTGCTTTTTATATCTAACGATGATAATGATTGCTTTCTACATCTTAGTGATGCTAATGACTCGGGCTTCGTTTGGGACAACTTTTTTCGTGCTTCTAAAAACATCTTTATAGTAAAAAATTAAAATTTATGTATTAAAAAACTGCTTTAAAAAACAGTAAAATAGCCGTCTCAAAAGAAACTTCAGTGCTAGTGGTTGCTTAAGTATGGTTGACTAATGTACATGGTGGCATTTCTTTTTCTTTAGGTTTGTGGCGGCAGGCTGGCAACTTGCAAGAAATCTTGAACTGCAATCACTAAATGATCTAGGCTTTTCCAAAAGATATGTTAGATGCTTGCAGGTATGACTGGTGCATCAGCCATCCAGTTTTTTTTTTTTTTATTAAATTTATATTTTTTGGTGGCTCAAGATTAAAGCCTTGTTTGGGAAAGAAGCTTTCTAGTAAAAAATTTTAATTTTTGTACTAAAAAGCTGTTTTAAGTAGTAAGAAAGCATTCCCAAATGAAGCCTAAGTTATTTCTATGATCTTTCGTTGGAAAATATACAAGGTAACTCTTTGGATGAGCTATCACTAAATTTTAAACATGATTGCATATCCGATGATTACCATAACTGTCAATTAATTTTGAACTTATTTTGACATGGTGTTGATACATTTCCATTGGAATCTGCAGATATCCGAAGTTGTTAACAGCATGAAAGACTTGATTAATTTCAGTCAAGCACAGAAGATGGGACCCATAGGTTTGGTCCTTATTCAGATGTCTACAATATTTAGCTGGTGATATTTTTTTGGTTATTGCTCGCATGCTTTCTTGCTTCACGAGGCATCTATGCATGGATATGCTTATACTTGTAAAAGAATGGAGATATCCGTGAGGGTATATTGTAATTTGGTGATATGAAATTAATAATTGCAAACTGATGTTATTGGGAGATCAATTGATGTTCAAGGCTTCGTTTGGGTCGGCTTTCTTATTGCTTTAAAGCATCTTTGTAGTAGAAAAAAATTAATTTTTTTACTAGAAAGTTGCTTTAAGAAGCAGTAAGAAAGTCATCCCAAACGAAGCCTAAGTTTGATGCTTTTCGGTATTTTGAACCTAAATGTGCAGAAGACAACTTTCAGAGTTAAAATTGGATAATTACATGGAGTGCATCCCAAGTATGGTGCAAAAGTGAATGCCATGAGGCATAAATAATTTTTGTAATACTATAATTAGAGTGAATATACTATATGATCTAACTATTAGGTAATAAAGTTGTTGATGGCTGATTTTAGTGTTAAAAAAAGTGAGAATGTTAAGATAACCGTTTGGTGAACTATGAAGGTTAGCATGGCATATGATATAATCAAACCTATGAAGAAGACTAAAAAATAATTCAGTTAGTTTGGAAATGTACAACAACAACAACATCAAGATTTTATTCCACTATGTGCGGTCGGCTACATATATCCTTTTTCTCCATTATGCAATAAGTTTAAAAGATATTTCAATTAGATGGGTAAAATGAATTAATGAAAGGATTAGTAAGGGAATGAGTGAACCAAAATAACAGGATTAGATGTTGTGCAAAGTGAATATGTCATGCAGCTCTAAATGGAAGAATTAAAGCTATATCTCCTATTCAGCCTTTGTATTCTCTTATTTAAGCTCATTGTTATTTGATTATTATCTCATTGCATCAATAATCATATTAGATTTTCATTTGCAGATAGCCTGAAGAACTTTTCTCATGCAGCATCTAAGCTCCAATCCCAGAACATGAATGAGGCAGAACAAATTGCTGCCGCTCAGAACCTCCCAATTGACCAGAACAAGGATAAACTCATATCTGGGCGTCCTGGGTTTGGTAACCACTCAGGAAATACTCACCCAACAACCCGCTTCTTAAACAACACTTCGCAGGCTACAATGCCATTAAATAGTTACCAATATTTATCGAGAAACTCTGCTAACTTAGACCAGAATCATCTGCGCTCCGATGCCTCATTTGCTCTTCTCAACCAGGCACCAACTGTACCATTTCAGGGCAACGGTGCTTCAAGCGCACCTGGCCAAAGCTTTCACAACCCGCAGCAACAAGCTTTGCCAACAAATCTGTGTCAGATCAACAAAAACCAAACTTCGTCCCAAGCAAACCAACACTTGCAACAGCATATGATACAGCAACTTCTGCAAGAAATGATGAACAAAGGAACTCCACAGCCGGCCTTGAACACACCTGTTGTTAACGGTAATGTTACAGCTGATGTAGTTGGTTGTTCTGGTCCTGTTACAGCAACTAAGATCACAGGACCAGGGAGGATTGGAACAGAAATCAGCACAGATGAGACATCCACTGATGTGAAGGGAATGATCCCTACTACGAGCGACACTTCGAAGCCTCCTTCCAAAAGTAGTAACTCCTGTATAAGTAACAATAACTATACTGCAAAGCTGGATGCGCTGGAAAACATGAATCTTGGTGATCTAGAACCTGACATTTTAAGAGAATTCTCCGAAGGTGGGTTTCAGTGGTGAGGTGGCGCATATGATGTGGTGATAATTACTTGTGAGAAAGATTATAAGTTGTCTTATATTTGTTTTATGGAAGCTTTGGGATATTAACGTCGAGTTGGGAGTTTATGAGGGACTTTGTTTCCCCGTAAGGCAAACCAACTGCTTCTGAGTATTGAAATCGTAAATGTACTTTCAGGCTTTGCAAAAATACTGGTCAGTAAATGTGCTTCTTTGATTTATTGTATGAAGTGCTTGCGTTGTGATTTGAAGTCGGATATTGGTCTCCTTATTGAATTTCTGAATTTAAATATATCGGAAACAAAGTAGAAATTTTTTTTGTAAGGCTTTGTTCGGGATGATTTTTAAGTACAAAAGTTTTAATTTTTATATTAAAAGTTATTTTAAGAAATAATAAAAAAATTGTTCTAAATGAAGCTTAAGTGAAGAGCTAGCTCTTTTCTACAGTATAAAGATTTGGTCAAGAAGTTTTTTTTTTTGTTATAAACTTTTTTGGAGCATGGACGACAAAATTAACAGTGGAGGCTAAACAATGTGGATTATGCAGTTTGGAGTAGATATTTTGACATATGCTTATAATTTTAAGGTAAATGGAGCTTTTAAATGAACATAGGAAGACTTCTTTATGGCATTTGAAGAAGGATCATAATCTAAAAATATAGAGGATGGTGGGTAATGTTAATAATGTGTTGTGGGGAATTTGAGTGTGGATATAGGTTTTTTTTTTTTAAGTCTATTTATTTATTTGATATTTGACCATTTAAGGTAAACTCATACACAAAGACTCGGACACAAGACCTATTAGTTGGAAGCCTAAGTTTTCATCCAACAAGCTAAGCTAAGTTGTGTGCTATTTATATAGTTTGAGGCAATGGAATTTTAATTGAGCTAAACTAAAAAAATGCATATGAAAGATGTATGGAGAATGATTTGGACTGGAGTTTTATCATAAACTATAACTTTATTGAGAGAGAATTTAAATTAGTCTCTTAATTATTTGTATAAAATTATTTTAGTTCACATATCTTTAATTTAGATTTTATTTGTAGTTTATGTTTTTCTGTATTTTTTTTTTTTTGAGCCAATTAAAATAAATTTATCCACACATCACATACGAAAGTTTTGAAGCTTAAACTTCTTTGATGATAGTTATTTTTTTATAAGAAAAATAGATCATTTAGATTATAAAGATTATAAAATCATTACAAGTGAAATGTTATGTATTCAGCTTCGCTAATTAATTTTAGATTTTAAAATAAATGAATAGAATAAGAAAAATAAACTAAAACAATATCATAGGATTAGATGGTGGTATTTAAAAAAATACTATTAAAAATCTATTTGAGAGTAAGATTTAGGATCTTAAGATTTTGATTGTGCATGAGGAAGCTAATATTTTATAAAAAAATAGCTGATTTTATTAAGAATATTATAAAAATATACTTGGAGTATATAAAAAAAGCTCATAATATTAAAAATAGTTAGAAGTTGGATCAAATGAGCAAAAAAAAAAAAAAGATTAAAAATAAAAAGTTTTATTATAAAAATTAGTTTAGATGTAAAAGTTCAAAATTTTGGAAAGATATAAAGGTGCCTTAAGGAGTCTAATAAAGTAATATTCGATGAAAAAAATTAGCTTTTAACAATTTATATAATTAAGGAGGGAGAAAGAGGTATTTATAAGTTAGCCAAGGAAAGAGATAGAAGAAGTAAGGATTTAGTTCAAGTGAAATGCATTAAGGATAAAGACCAAAAAGTTCTTTTTTTTTTTCAAAAGAGGATATTCAACATATGTGGATAAGATTTTTCAATAAGTTTTTCAATGAATATTATAAAAAGACAATTGACTTTAGTAACCTTATCACCCTAAATGAAAATAGAGCTTTTTTAATTTTTATTGACGTATTAATAAATTGAAGTTAGAGAGGCTTTAAAGAAAATGAAGTGCAAAAAAAATATTTGAACCTCATGATATTCCAATAGAGAAGCGGACATGCTTAAGAGATGAATGAATTTTTTAATATTATTTTGAAAACTAAAAAGATGCTAGGTGAGTGGAGTGTATTGGTTTCTATTTTTAATAATAAAGGTGATGCACAAGTGTATGAATTATAGAAGAATTAAGTTAAAGTGTCATACATTAAAATTATGTGAGAGAATAATTGAGCATAGGTTATGATGTGATACTAATATTTCTTAAAATCAATTTGGATTTATGCCAGGTTAAAGAAGTATATAAAGAATACATATGATCTATATGATATTTATTAATTAAGAGAAAGCATATGATAAATTTCTAAAAGAAATGCTATGGAGAGTTCTAGAATAGAAAGGGCTTAATAATGTTTATATTCAAGTCATTAATGATATATATGTATGAGATGCTACTTGTGTTCAAACACAAGGTGGTTTGAACAAGTATTTTTCAATTTCAGTTGGATTATCTTAAGGACCAACTCTAAGCCCATATCTTTTTTATTTGTTATGGATATTCTTATTAGAAATTTGCATGAGGATGTACCATGGTGTATGTTTTTTGCATAAGATATTCTTCTTGTTGATAAGACTAGAGAGGGGGCAAAAGGAAAACTTGAATTAAGGACATCAACCTTGGAGTCTAAAGGTTTTTGTGTGAATAGATCTAAAACTGAATACATAGATGCAATTTTAATAGTATTAGATCTAGTGGGAATTGTGATTATGGGTGATCAAGTAATTAAAAAGAGTACATGCTTTAGATATCATGGGTCTATTGTTCAAAATGATGGTGAAATAGACCGGATATTATTAGTAGAATTCAAGTTGGTTGGTTGAAGTGGAGGAACAGAAATGCATCGGGCCTGTTGTGTAATAGAAAAGTACCTCCCAAACTTAAGGGAAAATTCTATAAGTGGTGGTGAGACCTCCAATGCTTTATGGCGCAAAATGTACTTTGGTCATTATAAGAGAAGCATAAAATTAAGTTAAATGTTGCAGAGATGGTGATGCTTAGGTGGATTTGTGGCTTTACTATTAGATATAGAATATAAATTATCATGGGTCTATTGTTCAAAATGATGGTGAAATAGACCGAATATTATTAGTAGAATTCAAGTTGGTTGGTTGAAGTGGAGGAACAGATTGCATCGGGCCTGTTGTGTAATAGAAAAGTACCTCCCAAACTTAAAGGAAAATTCTATAAGTGGTGGTGAGACCTCCAATGCTTTATGGCGCAAAATGTACTTTGGTCATTATAAGAGAAGCATAAAATTAAGTTAAATGTTGCAGAGATGATGATGCTTAGGTGGATGTGTGGCTTTACTATTAGATATAGAATATAAATGAGGATATATGTGAAAATGTTGGAGTAGCTCTTGTGGTAGATGAGATTAGAGAAAGTCACCATAGATGGTTTGGTCACATTAAACATCGGCCTTCGAATGGCCTAATTAAAAAAGTAGATGTATTAAATCTAACCAATGTTAAAAGAGGTGGATATATACCTAAAAATACTTTGTTAGAAAATATTAGAAATAACATTTCTTTATTTGATTTAAATGATAATTTGACTTTTGATGGGATATACTCGAGAAAAAGGATTCATGTACTCATCAACCCCATGTAGTACAATAAAAACTTGATGTTGTTGTTGTTGCAGAGATGACGATGCTCAGGTAGATGAGTTACTTTACTCTTAAAGATAGAATGTGAAACAACAAGATGCGTGAAACAGTTGGAGTAGCTATAGTGGCAAATAAGATTAGAGAGAGTCACTTTAGGTTGTCTGGTCACATAAAATGCTGACCTTCCAATGACCTGGTTAGAAGACTAGATGTATCAAAATTTCCTATATTAAGAAAGGTAGAGGTAGACTTAAAAAAACATTATTATAATATATTAGAAATGACATTTTTTATTAAATTTAACTAAAAATTGAATCTTAATATGCCACAATAAAGAAAAAATGATTCATATCATATAATGAGATAAAAAAGCTTAATTTTGTTTTTATTTGTTATTCAAACAATGATCTTCACACAAACATTAACTTTGAAACTCATGCAATCAGTTTAACAATTTTTTTTCTTAAATATCTCATTTGACTTTTCATTGGTCACCCCAATATTCTCCCTCTCCATATTATCTACAATACAAGTAAATTAAACAAAAACATCTACATTATTTTCAAATAAATCAACAATTTTGATTGCAAACATACAAAATTCAATGATTATTTAACCCTCAAATAATTTCATAAAATTTTCAATTATACTTAAAAATTCTTGATTTAAATCTATTCAAACTTAAACCTAAATGCTCTTAATACCATTGAATCTATATACCCATCTAGACACCCGTTGTGAATATAATTTAACTTAAAATAATATTATGATGATCCTAAAATTGCTTCTTAAAAAATTATTTAATATTTAGATGTTTAAAGACATAAAATTTATGCTTCATCAAATAAAAAAATCAAATTATATAATGATTGACTAATTCAACGGAAAATAACCCTATCATAAGTGTGCTAAATTCGAGAAATAGCATTGTACTAAAAAAATAACAAAATTTGACAGATGATATTTAACTTCCATATAACTAATATTTTAATAATATTAAACCAAACTTCTCCTAAAAATTAATTATTATTAATAAACCTTGCTAATCACGCCCAAATAAAAAAAGCACGCACTAATGATGATGTATCGACCACATGAGACGTGGCAACATCTCCCCAAGTTTCTTTTATTTTTATGTTTGGCTCTGATCAGTCAGGCGGACCCTTATTTAAGAGTGGTTTGGGACGGCTTTTTTATGGATTTCTAAAACGGAATTTTAGTACAAAATTAACGAAGCCTTAGGTTTTGTTTGGGACGACTTTTTTATTGCTTCTGAAAACGAAATTTTAGTACAATAATTAAAAAATTTGTACTACAACTCCGTTTTAAAAAACAATAAAAAAACCGTCACAAATGAAGTTAGTTAAAAAATAACTTCAAAAACCTTGTCTGATAAACGTCACATTCAAAAGAGAAAAAAATATTCCCAATGCAAAAATTGCATCGCATACCTTAAAAAGCATGTGCAATTTTTTTATTTTTTTTTTCAGATTTTTCTAGAAAGAATTAGAATTAGCCGGTCAGCAAGATATTTAAAACCCTGCGGGTTCCGCAATTTAGACTAGTAAATTAGATTCCAGCAATAAGCAAACTTACAAGAACAAACTCAATCTGCATCTGAACAGTAGCCTTCCGTTATCTGGCAAATTATTCTGTGGGAAACCACACGCAAGCTTTCGTTCTTTTATTACACTTTTGTTGTATTTTTGCAAAAATAAAACTAATATATAATTTTAACTGCATATTAGCTATTCTTTTATAAAAATAAAAGAAATGCGCAATAAAAGTGCAGCCAATATTTTATTCATTGAGTATTGGCTGCCTTTTTGTAGCATTTTTTGCAAATACTCAACAAAAGTATAATAAAAGTACAGCTAATATGCAATTAAAATTGTATATTAACTGACTTTTGCAAAAATACATTAAAAGCACAACAAATCCGAATGTAAGCTTTCGTGCGGTCTCTGCACAAAATAAATTTGCCTGTTATCTGAGAAGGAAGGAAAATATCCTCCTTCGATCACTCGGAAGGCATACTTTAACCCCTGTAACAAATTCACAGTTCATACAATACAAAGCTTCGAACTCAAAATTGAAAAGAAAATTTACATGTACAGATTACTATGATCACTTGATCAGGCATCATTGAGAAGCTATTTAACATACGGTAAATTAAAAAAAAATATATTAGGATCTTTTTTAGATCGCTAATTTTGCCTTGGTATAACTCCAACTGATTTAAAAAACTTACAGATGGAGGGGAGAGATCTACTCTTGAATCAACCCCTTGGGACAGATTAACACTGAATCCACACAGAGACCCCCTTTTGTGTGAGTACAGTCTATTTGCTTCATAGAGAACTTGAGTTTAGTTGGAACATCTGCGCTCCCGGCCATAAAATCACCAACATGGTAGCGTATCCAACGGCCAGGATCAGCTAGTTTGCATTGGCACAAAGCATGCTGGCCGTCCGAAGTCCACAGCTGGAAGCGGACAGGCTTGATGTCCCAGCCATGGATGTGCTCGGTGTGGCATACACGGCGGCCAAGACGCCTCGAGGGTCGTCCCAGGTGAAGGCGGAAGTATAGGCTGTATGTGCCAGGAGGGAAGCAGAATTCAATTTCCCCATCTACCTCAAACCACCATATCTGATGAAGATAAGCAACTGAATGGAATCTGCAAAAGAAATGACCTCAGATTCACATCTTTTTATCACTTTTTTTTATATTTCATCGGCATTATCATGATAAGAACTTGTTTTACAGAGGAGCGGATTAATCTTCATAATTAGTAGAAGGTGCATGGATAAATAAAAATTTAAATAAGAGCAACTGCGTCAAATTAAATGGCACATTCTACTGAATATGTCAAACTGTTTTGGCACATTTAGACTATGCCAAATAATTTAACACATTCAGTATAATGCACCATTTAAATGGTGCAGTCCACTTTTTTAAAGAGTGGTCCAGCGCAAGAGAGGCACTGAGAGAGAGAAAGAGACATGGTGGAGAGAGTGGCATGGAGAGAGACAAGTAGGAAGAGAGTGGTGGGGAGAGATGAGAGGGGGGAGAGAGATAGCAGCTTTTTATTTTATATTTTAATTTAAAATATATTTTATTATATAACTCTATTAAGACATTATTATCATATTTTATTTTATTTTTATATTTTTAATTGATTTTTTGAAATAAAATAAAATAAAATAAATTTAATGTCTTAAATCTGTTTTTGAAAAATATTCATAATAATTTTTGCTTTTTTTAATACCCTGTATATCACGTGTTTAATGAATATATCATGCTTTTTGTATCAATAAATTAGTAACAGTGTTAATAATAAATCCACACAGTAGTATGAATAATGCCTCAATAACATTCATTTTAATAGTTACACTAAACAAATAAGAATCTAGATATCACGATTTTTTTAGCATCGATGTCAGTATAAGTAAACCGTTAGTTCAGTAAACAGAATCGTCATTCTTTGGCCGTCCGCACAATAATAATCTCCTTATAACTCTTAATCAATTTATCACGTGAATCAATAGAGAATAACAACAAAACACAATATTTAAAAGAAAGTCATACTTCAATAACATTTATTTTAATAGTTACACCAAACAAATAAGAATTCTAGCTATCACGGTATTTTTTTAGTATCGGTATCAGTATCGGTAAACCGTAAATTCAATAAACATAATCGTCACACTTTGCCCGTCGGCACAATAATCATCTCCTTATAACTCTTAATCAGTGTATCACGTAAATTAGTAGAGAATAGCACCAAAACACAATATTTAAAAGAAAATTCATCGACCCACCATTTTGTACAAATCAATCAGTCTCCAACCACTCTCTTTGCCCCCTCTCATCTCTCTCCCCACTCATCTCTCTCCACCCCACTCTCTCTCTCACCCATCTCTCTTTCTCTCTCTCTTTCCATGCCATTTCTTGCGCCTGGCAGTTTTTAAAAAAGTGGAATATCCCAAATTAAATGGTGCATTCAACTAAATGCTTGAATGCGCCAAATTGTTAGGCATAATCTAAATGCACCAAATAGTTTAACACATTCAATAGAATGCGCCATTTAATTTAGCTCAGTCACTCATATTTAAATTTGTATTAATTCATGCTCCTGCTAATTAAGGAGATTAGCCTGCTCCTTTATAAAATAAGTCCTAATGATAATATGAGCAGAAGCACATAATGATTAACATGGAACCCAACTAGCTCGACATTAAGCCTGGATGGACGATAAAGCTGCTTAATACTAAATAAGATTGTGATCCTAATACTACTAGCTTGACAGCACCTTAATAATAAAATTTAGGCCAAAATTTATAATTGATAATAATCAAGCATTCATTTGCAAAGATATACTATTTCTTTCAATATATAACTAATAAAAGGCCACCACAAATAGTTGTCAATGAAAACTTGCTACAGAACATGATCAACCAAAGATAAAGAGGTGAATAATAGTCATAGGAAGTTAATGTTGTGATATAAGATATACAGCAGCAATCAAAAGGTCAGTCACATGCTTCCTTTCTTAAAAGGGCCAAAATTACTCCCAAAATAAGAGTTCTGCATCACAATTAGTAGTTTTTATCAATAAAACAGTGTAGCGGTCAATCTAGTCTTCTAATGGTTCAATATATCACTGGGAAACCCAAAAACTAAAAAAATTTCAATGCATAGTTTTTTCCCCTTGCAAATTATTTAATTTTCCTTCTTTTCCCCAAAGAAAATGTTAGGATCTTGGAAGATGTTCTTGAGAGAGAGAGGGAGGGAGAGAGAGAGACACCAAATTGGAGGAAATACAAATTAGCTTTACTAGATTTTTTCCCCAACTCTTACATCAACCCAAGGTCTCTATTTATAGAGCATTACCAAGGTGTGATAACATGCATGAGCAAAAAAGCCTAAAACTAAAACAACTCATAACAATCTCCACCTTGATTTAGTTTTACAAAAAACCAAAGAACCACTCGTCACAAGAACTCTAACTTATTGCAATCCAACAGATTGCCCTGGACACCCGTGCGAGCTCCTACCTGCGACTTCGCACGATTCACCCGTCCAATCCTAAGTTCCGACCATCTTGCATCCACGAGGTTCTTGATGCTTCAACATGCTCCTATAATTCTCCGCCTTGATCGAATTCAAGATCAAGAGTCTCTCTCTCCGCCTCTGCAGCTGCCTTTCGTGATCAAGAACAAGGACGAACCAATCGTTCCATCTTCTGCAAGGCCAGTTCTCCAATCTTGCCGGTCTTTCTACGCCTCGTGCCCGCGCCCTGAGCCTCAAGCTTCTCTACAGCGCCTTGCACTCCTGTGCGACCTCTTCGTGCACCGCACGACCTCGCACTCCCGTCACTACTCCTCAAGAACAACCAGACTCTATCTCAAAGATCTTCCGGTCTCCACCTCAAGTCCAAAACTCCCCTCAAATCTTGACCGTAAGAACTTCAACAAGACCTTGTCGCAAACTGTTCATCCACGGCCTCTGTGCTCGGCCCGCCAGTGAGAATCCCGCCGGCCCTGGTGCTCGGACCTTGTATGCCCAAAATGAGGCACTTCGCATGCTCACCTGCAAGGCCCGACGCCACTTGTGGCCAACCTTCACGGAAGGAGACCCGTCCGCTTCTGCTGTGCTCGACTTGACGTCGGCTTACCTCCGTTCGTTCGGCTGATTTCCTCAAGTAAGAAAAGATGAGCGAACGTCCGCTTCCAACGACAACATCCGCGTCGGATCCGTCTCTGGCTGTGCCTCCGGTATCCGAACTCAGCTAGACGTCCGGCCTGCTTGCTCCAGTTAGCCCGATCCAGCGGCTCTGCTTGACTCCTTTGAGTCCGACCTTCGCCGAATCCGCGAACCACGCCAACCTGCCTCGCGTGTTCGCGAGACCCACGACGCCACCTCCTGTTTGATCAAGAAGCACACGCTGGCGACCCTTCCGATCAGACTTTGTCTGATCCGCATGTCCGTGTATCAAAAGCCGAATGCTCCACCTCAAGAACGCATTCCTCCATCTCCCTAGCTCTGATACCATTTGTTAGGATCTTGGAAGATGTTTTTGAGAGAGAGAGGGAGGGAGAGAGAGACCAAATTGGAGGAAATACAAATTAGTTTTACTAGATTTTTCCCCAACTCTTACAACAACCCAAGGCCTCTATTTATAGAGCATTACCAAGGTGTGATAGCATTCATGAGCAAAAAAGCCTAAAACTAAAACAACTCATAACAGAAAACAAGGAAATGTATTTCAAAATTAAGCAAAGGTACTAACAACAAGGGTAAGAATAATTAGAAGAAAAATTGAATCATTCCATTTAAAGAGCATAAACTGGCCTCATAATTGTAGGCAGTTCAACAACAAGAACCAAAGACCGTCATCCCTGCCATACAAAAATAGCTCGAAGATGGCAATGCTACAGCTCAACGCCAAATTGGGAAGGATCACAACTGCGATCGGAGAGTAAGCGTTGGGTTCTTGCTTGCGTGTGATGTTAGGATCTTGAATGAGGAAGAAGTCTTTCCTTCATGAGCTTCTTGGGAGAGGAGGGGGAGAGAGAAAGGGAGAGGTAGAGAGCTAATCTCAAATTCTTATTGCTTAATCATGACATTATTACAACCTAAAGCCCCAATTTATAGACAACTAAAAGCTACACTAATTGTTATACAAGCCGTTCAAAAAACCTAAAGAAAATACAATTCTAAATCTATGACCAATATCCAACAAGCCGTTCAAAAAACCAATATTCAAGATCCTAACATCTGCTATTGTATTTTCTTTAGGCTTGTATAGCCATTAGTATAGTTTTTAGTTGCTTATAAATAGGGGTTTTAGGTTGTAATAATGTCATGATTAAGCAATAAGAATTTGAGATTAGCTCTCTCCCTCCTCTCCCAAGAAGCTCATGAAGGAAGGGTTTCTTCCTCATTCAATATCCTAACAACAAACAAAAAAACTGAACCAAAACTAGCATTTAAGAAACAAAAAGCCTATAATCAGAATGCATATTCAGATGTTGGACCACTTCACAAACGCATTACTATTTCAGCAATTGACATCCAGCGTTCACAAATGAACTTCTACCTTTAAGAGAGGAAAAAAGAAAAACAGAAGAAGAAAAAGAAAAACCTTTTGATCCTCAAGAGACGAACCTAATTGCAAAAATGTTTATCACCTCTCGTCTTCTTTTTTTTTTTTTTAACTTTCCTAAGCTTCCCAAGTTTCCTAGGATGGAAAATATCAACTTTAGACCTCAAAATGTGGGTTTCATGCACTGGTACGCTGAAACATGCTATGAAATTCAACAGGCGTTTTCCTTGGTTCCCATCTATCAATTAGTCAGCTGGGCACTCAAATTGGCAATTGAAGGAGAATACAACACTGAAATGTATATATTATAGTGGAGCTGAACAACCAAAAACAATTCTAACCAAGAAAAAAAAATTAAAGATGACCCTACCATCAAAAACTTTGATCAGCAAAAGATTTTATATAATATTCATAGTAAAAAAAGCCTTTGTATCACAATAAAGTGAAAAGTTTGTGGCTTTAGCGAAGACTGAAATACAGAACAAAAGGAACCATAAATCAATTGAGCTCAACCATCGCAAAGCCTCCAAACAGCGCTCAAACTATGGAAAACGCAGATTATAAGCTAAAATACTGACTTGGCGAATCAAAAAGAATAATTGCAGCCTAAATTGTGTCAATGAAAATAGTAATTATATTTACTTATTTAACTAGAAAAAATACAAAAAAAAGAACAATACCTGGATTCCTCAGTGGGAATATTATTCCAGTACCTCCGATCATCTATCCCTGTTATAAGCAAAGCCTTTGAAGAAATAGACATGCAAAGCCTTCCCCCGTACTTCTCTAGCCAGAATTCCTGCCGCCGACAAAAACCCAAAAACAATAAAACAACAGCAGATACAGTTTTCCGCAGCTACAGTTGAAACAGGAACCAGCTTTTCCATCTACTGTTTGGCTACAAGCAGGATTACAGTCAAAATTTAGTAAAGTTTTGAATCCAGATTTAATGATTTTTTGGAGGATTAACCTGAAAACTGTTTGACATAATTGTTAAACTTCGGTAAATCGTAATGAACTGTTAGACTATTAGTTTCTGGATATAAAATTTACGATTTATTAGAGAAAGAAAGCCTTAAATCTTTTAAATCTTTTGAATGATGGGAGTTAAAAAATACTGAATTCAATCAATAACAAGGCCGCTACTGAAATTAGCAAATAGTAGTATTCAATTCCCCAAAATTCTGTTTGGCAAGGCTTAAGCTTTCAGCTAAAGCTTGCTTAAATCCTGCCAAAATTGGAGACCAAATAGCCCCTTGTAAATTAAATAAATAAAACACACATACACACCCGCCCTCTTGCCGCCAACCCGAAAAAGTCTCATCGAATCCAAAACAAACAAACCACTGTGAATCCGAGAAAATACCTAGAATCCTGGAGTTTTGTAGGCTTCCTCCAACAAATATCCAAAAAAAACCCAATCTAGTTGAAATATATCAATCATTCGAGTTTTATCCCTCAAAATTATCACCACAATCATGAGAAAAAACCAAAAAAAAAAGGGTAAAACCCCTCAAAGAAAATCCGAATCCAAGTCACAATTGAACAAAGGAGGCCCCTACCTTTGCTCCCCCATCAAAGCGGTTCCGACGACAAAGCTGTGCGTAGATTTCCTTCTTAGTCAGCAGAACCCTTTGTTCCACTTCATCCGATGCCTTTTCCATAAGGTATTGGTAGTTTCTTGGAAGCTTAGTCTCCCACACAAAGTCCCCCGAAGCTGCTCCCCGGAAAGTGCGGCTAAGTTTCGCCAGCTTGCAGATCCCCGGGGGGTCGAGGTGTCGCATCAGCTCAGCTATGCAACTTTCCGGTAAGTCCCCTAGCCCCGTTTCCTGAACTCCTCCGTGACCTCCCTGTCTCATAATACTCGAGGCTCCAGCTCCCATACTCCCACTGATCAAAAACCCGAAAGCCTATTCCAATTCTAGACGAAGATCTACTAAAACCTAACCACAAACCATTGAATCAAGCAGAGATCTCTCTAATTTGAAAGAACCCTAGCAAAACAAAGATGCCTTCGTTGATGAACAGAAAAATTCCATCTCTTATTTGAGCGAGGAATCCACGCTCTGTTTCAAGGGGAGCAGGTGGAGAGAGAAGCGTGGGAGAAACGCTGGACGAGATTCTATTTAGATCGAATCCTAATATCGGACGTGCTCAGAACTGGTTAATGAAAGGACATGCTGTTCCTAAAATGCCCTCATTTGTTGGTTTACTTGAAAGCGCGGTGTGGTTCGGCGGGAACTATTAATACGACAGATGGAGTATGAAAGGACTAAGCTACCCCTCAACATTCTCCAATAAATTGACATGCTGTAGGGTTTTGATCCTGCCACGTCTTCGCTTCTCATCCACACGAAATTACAAATAATAGAATATCAAGTAATTCACTAGTAAATATAAAATTATAAAAGATAGAAAATAATTATTATTATTTGGTGCTAAAAAATTTGAGTGAATAAAATATATTTTATATTACAATATTATGTAAACATTTAGTATATATAGATAAAAATATTTGATGTTGAAAATCTGAAAAAGACAAAAAATCAGAGGACCGGGATGAGATGAAAAATCTATTATATTTTAGAGAATATGAGAATTCTTTTTTATATTTGAAGAAGATGATGACTATTTGAGAATAAAATATATGATTCTTTTTATAGGATTACAAAAATATGATATCCATAAGTTGATAATTGAAACCCTACAGTAAAGTTAGATCTTAGTAGAAATATAGAGATGACGATGATTATTAATAGTGAAGATTGATAGGAAATATTTTTGTCAATGGAAATAATATGTGGGGTTGTTGGCGGCCAAGCTGTAAAATGCAAGATAACTCTCTAGTTCTCTATCTTCTTCCTCCCCTTCATATAGAGAATATGGCTCTATTTATAAATTTTTTTGGGATAAACGTTTTGATAATTTGAACAAAAATTCAAAACACCAAATTGTATGGTTATAAAGCTTTTTTTTTTTTTGTTTATTTAGAACAGATAGAATTTCTAGCAAAATTTTTTGCCGAAAATTCCTCTACAAATTTATGGTCAACTTTCTGCCAGTAATTCCATTGTTACTTCCGATAAGGACTATTTCGCCGAAAAATTCATCGAAAATTCCTATTTTTCTGAAGTGAATCCTTATAACATTTTCCCAACTGTGGTGACTTGATTATAATCCTTTAATCATCATCGCCTGACTTAGGTCATGTGGTCACCATTCCCACCTATGGTCCTTCAACCATCATTGACCAACTATGTTCCTCTAATCATTATTGTCTTGTTACATATTATATATAACATATTGTATCAAAATCTTCCTCAATTACAATGATATCATTTTTAACCAATAACAAATATAAGTGGAGTAATTTCAACTAGGTTAAACCTTCATTATTTTTTCTTTTTTAGGTTTTTCATGTTAAAATTCTTACATTTCTCATAACTT